TTATTGCAAGCAAAACATTGATAAATCGTACACTGGGACATCACACCATATGAGTGCCGGTGTTCTATCAAATTTCCCTACCCCGTTAGAAAACCCTACCCTCGTCACTTCCGGTGACGAAGCCGCACCGGAAGTGACGTTGGGACGGGGGTGTGCGCAGCCGCGCAGGCGCACACCACCTAGGTAGGGACTTTGAACAGCGAGGAGTCGCATAAAGGCGCAGTGCGCATGCGCGCCAAACTACTCCCGTCGGAGGTACAGCGCGCGTGCGCACTTGGGGACAGGGAGAGCTTCACAGACACCGCGCATGCGCACTATAGGGGTAGGGAAATCTGATGGCGATTAAGCCCTGTGAAATCTCCCTACCCCTATACTGCGCATGCGCGGACTGTTGGTTAGGAGGGGCTATCTCACTTGATTATTTTCAAAAATCACCTGACCGTTGCTGGAGCTTGTCTCATATGCACTGGTTGATTCTTTTTCCTGTGCTGACTGCAAGTTTGATATCCTATTCTATTCATTTATTCTACTAACTTAACACCCTTTCACCATCCTGTGGGTGTAGTTGTACAAGGATTTCAAGGACACCATTAAGGTAAGAAAATTTTTTTTTTTTGGCAAACCTCAAATTCTGTACTGATACTTACCCTCTACTGCTCTGAACTATTTCCACCCCCCCACAAAAAAAATAATTACCCTCAGCTGGTCTTAACTACATACCCCGTTAACCCCTGCTGAGCTGAACTACATACCCCCCGTTAACCCCTGCTGAGCTGAACTACATACCCCTGTTAACCCCTGCTGAGCTGAACTATACCCCCGTTAACCCCTGCTGAGCTGAACTACATACCCCCGTTAACCCCCTGCTGAGCTGAACTACATACATAACCCCCTGAGCTGAAGCCCCTGCTGAGCTGAACTACATACCCCTAACCTCCCGCTGAGCTGAACACATACCCCCTGCTGAGCTAACCCCCTGCTGAGCTGGAACTACATTAACCCCTGCTGAGCTGAACTACATACCCCCTCGCTAACCCCTGCTGAGCTGAACTACATACCCCCTTAACCCCTGCTGAGCTGAACTACATACCCCCCGTTAACCCCTGCTGAGCTGAACTACATACCCCTCCCGTTAACCCCTGCTGAGCTGAACTACATACCCCCCCCGTTAACCCCTGCTGAGCTGAACTATAGACCCATTGTATGCGCTTATGCCTTTCTGCAGGATTTAACTTTAGTACGATCACCTGTATATATGTTTGCCAACGACCAGAGGTGTCTTACCATCCTCCCTGAAATTGACTAGATTGCTTAGAGTGATGGAAAAGGGAGCCCTCTTATCCTGTTTTTGACATCCAGTCACTCACTAGGTGTGGTGTTGTGACTGTAATAAGAGTTCATAATTTTGTCCTTATATTGTCTCCTTACAGGATTCGCCTTTCATTCAGTCCCTCACCAAGCCTATTGTGTGGTCTTAGACTTTTCAACGGTGAGTAATTCCAAGATCGTGGCGATACAATTCTATTGCATAATTTGTTCCTTATTGTTCCCTTACAGGCACGACATTTGATCCACTCACTTGTCTAGCAGTGTCCGGTCTTATCAGACTACCAGATGGTGAGTAATGCCCATACTGTTGTTACCTTTTGTAAGACTTTAACATTTTATCCTCATAGGCTGTGCAGCCGATTTACTCTGTTACACTGTAGTGTCCATTGTTAGTGGACTTTACACTATGTTGTGGTATTTTACAACGCATGTTGGGGAAGCTTTCCTTTCACTGTGAAAAGGCTAGTTTCAGTTTGTGGCTACATATATTACGTGTATGGAATTTAGTGTAGTTTTTTAGTGATTTAGAGACATTTGTAAAATTATAATTTGTGTTCTATTTTAATAGAAATGGAGACCAAGTACAACGACATCATCCAATTCCTCTGTTTTGGCGAATACCCACCCGGGTATTCTAAGACACAGAGGCAGACTTTCAGGCAGACCACTGCCAAATTTACTTTAAAGGGTGAGTATCAAAAATACCGTCAATATTAGTTATTTGTAATTAAACAAACCCTCTAATCTTTCAATTTTATTACAGAAGGAGAGGTCTTCGTTGGAAGAAGAAGAGTTATTAAAACCGAAGAAGAGGCAAGGAGGATCTTCGTAGAGTTTCATGCATCGCCCATTGGAGGACATACAGGCATCAACAGAACGCGGTCGGCCATCTCCTCGAGATTCTTCTGGCATGGAATGGCCTCTGATATTGACAAATGGGTACACATTAATTATCTTTGTGTTTTGCTATATTAATAAAAGCTTGTACACAGGTTAACAACTCGTTTCCTACAGGTCCAGGAATGCGATAATTGCCAAAAGTCTGGAAAGCCATTGTCTGCTCCACAGCTGTTACAATGTATTAAGGTAAATATCTACTATAGTATTTCATAACATGTTATTACATTGTTATATTTAAAAATGTAATGTATTATATATTTTTTTTTTTATCACATTAGGTATCTGCTGTCTGGGAGCTTGTTGGGATTGACTTAACAGGTCCCTTCACAGAGACAGTGGATGGCTTTAAGTACATATTGACGGCTACAGATTACTTTTCAAAGTGGGTGGAGGCTTTTCCTCTGAAATCAAAATGTGCTGCTGAGGTGGGACGCCATATTTGCTCCATGGTCTATCGACATGGTTGTCCCAAGCGTATACTTTCAGACCAGGGAAGAGAATTCGTCAATCAAGTATGTGTACATTCAATATAACATTGTTGTCAATAATATTTATTTTGTAACATGTTGGCTTATAAAAAATTATATGTTCCTACTTTCTTCTTTTCTTTTTTTTTTTCGTTCAAGCTCAACGACCAGATGTGCAGTCTTCTTGGAATCGAAAGAAGCGTGACAGCAGCATATCACCCACAGACCAACGGCCTTGATGAAAAGACTAATCATAACATCAAAAGGCAAGTTTAATTCAAGTTTTGATTTTATTTCTGCTTTTAGTAGAACTTTTCTTCACAGGTTTACTTAAAGGGAATCTCCAGTGCCAGGAAAACAAATCCATTTTCCTGGCACTGCAGACTACTTATGTCCCTCTCTCCCACACCCCATCCCCAGGTGTTCTAAAACCCCTTCAGTGACTTACATGTATCCAGCGCCGATGTCCTTCAGCGCTGGTTTTGGCTCTGCTCACTCTCCTCCCCCGCCGACGTCAGCCAACGGGCGCGCATTCCAACTCCCCATAGGAAAGCATTATCCAATGCTTTCCTATGGGGATTTCAGCGACGCTGGAAGTCCTCATGCATTGCGTGAGGACGTCCAGCGTCTCTTAAAACACGAAAAGTGTTTTTATCCCCATACAGATCCCAATGACTGGACGACACACCGCATCAGAAGCAGAACTGACCTTTAATCCACACAACCTCCTTATAAAGCATTCTCCCATGCAAGGGAGGGATTCATCATAATTAGGACAGTAACCAATAATGTCACAGTTTCCTCACACACCTCTCCTCCCCTCAGTGTGACACATAATCCCATTATACATGCTGCAGTTTACCCCAAAACAGTTATGTGCAAAATGGTCTGTTACAGTACATAAGGGGTAAAAAACGTTTAGGCGATCGTCCCCCTTTCCAGAGATGCAGGCACAGCTACTGCAGAACACCAATCCTCCGAACAGGAAACCATACGAATGCTGTAAACAGCCGAATAGGAAAAACCATATGAATAGTTTTACACTCCTAGCAGTCGAACTGGAACAGCATACAATAAATCCCCCCCCACCAAGAACGAGACAAAGCTCCGTGTTGAGGGTCAAGCAGTGAACAGACAGAGCTGTGGGTTTATTGTGCTTATGTACACATTCTTACACATTAGTACCACCAACAGGGTTTTGGAACACAACCAATAAACACATACAATACACTCAGACACTCCCACACAAATTCCTCCCCTCTGCTTGTGATTCAATTACCTTACACAATGGGTAATGTAATTTAGCACAAGCAGAGAAATACAATTTTTCCACATTATTCATAACTTGAAAAGTATGCATCACATTCACTTACATTTTCATAATCCGCATATTCCAAATACAAACATACGTCAAAATCATACAAATTGGTCCAGTGGTTCAAAAGATAGATCGTAGTCCTTTGTGACCACAGGAAGCATGGCTTTTCTGCCCAAAACCATTTTAACTATACAGAAGAATAAACACACAAATTTAATTTTTAACAGTCTTTTAGGACAGCCTTAATACCATCCGCTACATATGTTTTATATTGCTTTTCTATTTTATTCATTGTAGAGCTCTCACTAAATTGGTGAATGAAAATCAAAATAACTTGGACGTTTATTTGGACGCAATATTGTTTTCCATAAGGTCGAAGGTCCAAACCACTACCAAATATTCACCTTTTCTTTTGATGTATGGGAGGGAGGCAGTTTTCCCATCCGAAGTTCCTGTTGAACTGCCAGTGAGTTGTTGCTGTTTTTTCTGTCTCCACTACAGTTAACTATGTGCGTATAGTATATGTAATAATTGTTTATTATATACAGATCTCGCCTCATTCTGCTTGCTTCATTCTACATAAGTTGCACATCTGATTATTTTAACATTGGACAGTTATTTGTAACTTAACTATTAGCTGATCAAGTTTGCTGCCATAACCATATTTCAAGATAGTGTGCACAGGTGACTGATCAAAATGTATTTCGTAATTCATAAACATTTTAATCTTGAAAATTATCAGTTCTATTTTCCACTAATAGCAGTATGACTGTACAACTAAAGGTCTTTTTGTTTTTTGTTTTTGTTTTTTTGTTTTTTTATTTAGCTTTTAAAAATTTACATTATTTAAGTTACTATGTATCTGACATTTTGGTGTGTGTGTGTGTAAACATATAAATATATTTTAAAAAATTCCACAGCTTTCGAACATCATCTTTCCGGAGGAGAAGAGTTATGTAACATTTCTAAATGAGAAGAAGGCATCAATGGAGAAAATAAACGAAACGACAAAGGAAAACATAGAAAAATCGCAGGAGAAGCAGAAGACGACGTGTGAGAAGAAGGTGTTGAAGAAAAACAAGAATGTGGTGTACAGTGTTGGCGATGAGGTCCTTCTTTATAATATGAGGAAGCGTGGTAGGAAAGGAGGAAGGATAGAGCCGGGCTTCTCTGGTCCTTATATTATCAAGGATTTGTGTGGCAAGGTGGTGAAATTGGAGAATTCGTGCGGAGTTACTCTAAAGAAAAAGATCAGCATCGACCACATCAAGCCATACAGGAGAAGTGAGGAAAACAAAGCCCACAGCCAGAAAGGTGATGTCGAATTGCCTAAAGAAATCATCACCTGCGTGCCCTCCATACCACCAAGGACCTCTGTCATCTGTTTTGCTGCACCGGAAAAGGAGGTACGACCAAATTTACTACCCGACTATAATTTATTATTTTTCTATTGTGCATATAGCGAGCCTTGTTGTTTTTCTTCATCCTACTCTTCATTTATGTAGTAGTTTTATTTTAAATGAATGTTAAATGTAAGTGATTAACATTAATCATGAATTTCTTTTCACAAGTCATCTGCATCTTTGATTGTCATGCAAAGCATAGAAGACAGAGGTAGCAGTTACGGTGGGTTTTTTTTTTTTTTTTGGAGGGGGAGTTTGACCCTGTTGGTCATTTTTTTGGCCATGCCCTGTTGGTCTGGTCTTTCACTCTGTTGCCATTCTGGCACTTTTTAATTTATTTTTTTTGGTACAGTTGCCACTGTTTGGCATCGTGTTATATGCAGTTCTCATTATTAGCCATACATGTTTTATATTCTACCAAAGAACCGATACAGGTTGAGTTATCCCCTTGTCAGAATTGCCTCTTAACATAAGTGAATTGAATTTAGCAAGCTTAGCATATTGGATTTTTCTAGCAGATTGGATGTTATATTGGGATACTGCTTTAAACATAAAACAAATTATTAATGTTAAGATAAGGCATACTCAACCTGTATTAGCTTTGGCTCAAGAATGTACAGTTACATACCTGGAGTTAAATTTTCGTGTTATGTGTGTGTGTATATATATATGTGTAAATTGTTTTTCTTTTTTCTTTTTTTCTCTTTTTTTTAATAGTTAAAAGCCTGTGGGAAGCTGAAGATGATGGATCTGTGGAAGCAGTTGTTGGGCCATACAAGCTGTATGTTTCTTCGTTCCGTACACTGCATGGCAATAACTGGCTGGTTGATGAGGTAAGAAAATAAAGTGTTATTAGTCTAAAGCTAAAATCTAAAAAAAATATTTTTAATATTTGATTTTGATTTTTATGCAGGTGATTGATGCATACATTCATCATCTGATTCTGAAGCATCAGGCAAGTGTTAATTATGTTTATTTATGGGTTATGTTGGTTGCTTTATTATTTGGCATTATAATTTTCCATCTATTGAAACAGGAACCTGTTCGACAGTTTGATCCGGTACTGTCATCTGTATTATTTTATGGTGCAATTGAAAATCTTGGAAAGGTTAGTGACTTGTTAGAATTATATTTTTATATATTAAATATAGCGATTTATAATTGATTACCGATTTGGTTTTCTACCTTTTCCTTCAGATGAAGTTTCCAGTCGAAGATCTTTGGTTATGCCCTGTAAACGTTGGAGCTCACTGGATTTTATTGGTATTTATTATTCAAATAATTTCCCTTTATTTACTTATGTTGCCATGCACTATTATATTCTATGTCTATTCTATGTAAATATATTTAACTACAATCCTATGACACAACAATGCTCATTTGCTCTATATAGTGTTGGCAGACTGTAGGTGGTATACAGTAGAATTATATATTAGTGCCATACTGTATGTAATGGTTAACAAATATTGCGTATAGTATTGCTGTCACAAACACATATTGTTCGAAGGCTTAAAACTCATAAGTGAAGGTGATCTCTGGCATTCTCATTCCGATATCCCAATAAAATTGATGTGAAGCGAGGGCAAAAAAGATACATAGAGTAGATCCTAATGGTAAAGAGAACATTTATTTTAAAACTTACAATCATTTAAAAAATACAGGCTTATCACCAACTCTGTTGAATAATCCACCATAGAAAAATCAGGCTGGAACTGGAATTGTTAAAAAAAATTAAAACAACTCATTATACATTCATAGGCGTTTCGTCCAGTCATATGGACTTCATCAGGGTCAATGACAAACAATCAGTTATATAATCTGTTTACTGATGATCAATGATATTTAAATGACAATTTCTTCTGTTGTGTCGTTTATTGATCACACTGTATATTTACTGTTTGGTCCACCTAGTATATTTCAAATATTAATGGAATCAACAATATATTTTTTAGGTTGTCATCATGTCCAAGAAGGTCGTTGTGCTAATGGATCCAATGGCAAATGAAAACTGCTATGTTTCAAAAGTGCAACACAACTTGCAGTAAGCGTGCCTCCGAAAACCATTTTAACTTCACATAAGCTTTAATAAACAAGTGATTCCATTTATTTTATTTTTCAATCTGTTACTTTTGTCATAGTATCTTCTTGCGGATGTACAAGCCGGATGAACAGCCAGATCAATGGAAAACATGGATAATGTACCACAACAACCAGCAGGATTCCACTAGCTGTGGAGTTTTAATCTTGATGGTAAAAAGTTTTCTAACATAGTAAAAGCCACTCATAACAAATGCGATCTGCAATTACAAATGTGAATTATTTTACAGTTTGCCAAGGAGTTCCTACGGACACGAACAATCAGTGAAGTGAAGACCTCTCCGGAATATATAAGGGATGCACGAATGGAAATAGCTTGTGCCTTACTCCAGTATAAAGGTCAGCTCTCACACAATGCATGAAAGTTTTTTTCTTGGAACATTGTGTTCAGACTCAAAATCCACACAGATTAAATCATTGTGCCGGAAACGTTTTTTTATTATTAATTCACTATGAAAATACATATTTGCTTACATTTTAACACGATGCACCATAATATAACGTAATTCTTTTATGTAATTATATTTGTAGATGCTGTATGAGTCCCTTAAAGGATGTAGCCCCATAATCAATAGATCTAAACATATGCGATAAGGTTAGTATACTGTATACTTTTGTACTTGCTACTGAGTCTTGTGGCTACTGTTATTCACTCTACCAATTGTTTTTAACTTCCTTTTTTTTTTCATTGTTTGGCAACTCAGAGCTGTTGGATACGAGGAAGATGAAGGGGACCATGTTTGCTACTCATGAAGAAGGTACAGTTATTGAACCTAAAGTTGCTAATTTTCATGATTTCATAGATTTCATTGTTAATCTCCTCCTCCTTTTCCTTTTTAATATGTATTCCCTCTTACTTTGACAATACTATTTGTGTACTTGCCTCGCTTTATCGTGCTTACAGTTATTCACTCTAACCATCCTTTTGTTTTTTTGTTTTGTTTTTTGGGGTGGACTACTCTGAGCACTGTTTCCTGTTGGATACGAAGAAGATGAAGGGGACCATGTTTGCTACTCATGAAGAAGGTACAGTTATTGAACCTAAAGTTGCTAATTTTCATGATTTCATAGACTTCATTGTTAATCTCCTCCTCCTTTTTAATATGTATTCCCTCTTACTTTGACAATACTATTTGTGTACTTGCCTCGCTTTCACGTGCTTAGTTATTCACTCTAACCATACATTTTATTTTTTTATTTTTTGGGGGGGACTACTCTGAACACCATCTTGAGGGAGATGAAGGGTACCATGTTTGGTTCCAGTGCCAGAGAGGCCACCATGATGAACCTCAACCTGCTGAAACAGAAAACTTCCTCTACACTTGGCTGCTTCATAACACATGCTGCAGATATGACGTAACCTTCGTTGTCCTGTGATTAAGAATGGTTATGTTCTGTGGTTACCACAGTCTGTCTTTGAAGGGCAGGTTTTTCTGTTAACCTTTTTACTTTTTTTTGTTTTTGTTTTTAATATATAAGAAATAAAGTAGATTGCAGAAACCTTGACGTGTAGATTGTTTCTTTAAAAAAAAAAAAACACTTGCTGTGTCCCATTCTGTGACATCAGTGCAATTCTATAGCGTGGGTGAGGAAATGGTCAAATGAGATGGTGGATTTCTGAGTCAAAAAGAAACAAACCTCAGTTTCTCTTGTTGAACACAGATTTGAGTTCCTTTTTGACGCTTTAGATTTTTTTTGGGGTGGATACTATATAAATTTATAACAGGGTAAAGACTCTTTGCTTTAATGGAAAACTATAGTGCTGTAAATATCAAACTGTATTGCTTACACTATACTTTACTCTGCACCCTTATTGTCAGTTACCTGATTGCTGGTTCTGGCTCCGCTAACATCATTTAGGCTTCCCCATCAGAAAGCATTTAATAAATACGTTTCTGTAGTGTTTTAAAATAGCCTGGTTGTCCTATGCAAAGCATAAGGATGTCCAGTGTTATTTCACAGTTATATTTTAAGAACCCTGAAGTGCCTCTAGTGGCTGTCTGATAGACAGACAGGCAATAGAGGAGGAGTTAATCTTGCTATAAAATTTTGGCAGTTTCACAGAATATGCAATAGTTCACATTGCAGGGTTAAGTGGACTTGGGAACATCACCCAAACAAGATGAAGTGCTCTTGGTGCCTCTAAGTTTTCCTTTAAAAAACAGCTTCTTAATCTTGTCATTGCTAGATTTTCTAAATCTTCAGTTATAAGCAAAGCTATGCATAAGCACAGTGACAAGAGTACCTTTTGTGCACCATAAATTAGCATAGGCTGTTACAAAGCCATATTTCTTAACTTTTATGGTCTGTTTTGGTAGAGTCTTAATTTTGTATTGCTCTCCATTGTCCCACAATAATTAACAGGTCGATGTTAATTACAGCTACTTATTTAACGGCACACACAAATTAATGTAGATTTCCAAAGTACTTTTTTAATCTTTTTAAAAGTGGCAGAATAAAGAAGTCTAGCACTAATTTCAAATTACAAAAAGTGAAAAAGTATGTTGGCCATTTATTAGATACATAATTTTTGCACGTGGCCAACATCGGATATTGTTAGTCGCTCTTTACTCTTAAGAATCCTTGTGACTAAGGCTTGGATGAAGCTGTGATCTTCCTTTACGGAACACTCCTTCAGTATCCAATAGTCTCTTATGCAGTGAATCCTGTAAAACTCAAACATAGTTCAAACTCACCAAATCGTAACCGTAAAGCAAATTACAATCTCTATATTTTATAATTTTAAAATACAATTTACATGTAGAGGATTGGAGGCATAGAATATAACGAATGATAGAGCACTTTAAATGTAGACTTACAGCATTTTCGTGACCCCCACAAAATAAGACAAAATAGGAAACAATTTTATATTAAGTATTTTGCCTACTCTTGACAAAAGGCAGCGCTACCGAAGGTACACTTATGCATGCACGTGAGTAGATTGCGTCCATTGGCTCCTGTCAACTAAAATGCCAGGAGCTGAAGAGGACCTTGTGAAAGCTGCATACAAAGGACATTTTAAGTCAAGTAAAAAATACCTTCACCTGGACTACACGTGGAACAGTGAATGCCTGAGGTTTTAACACAATATGCAAAATTAAATTAAATAAAATGTCCTCAAAAGATTAAGTGCTTTAGGGGTCATTCGAGGTGTAAGAATTTGGTATAATGCAACAGAGGCTTACGTTTTAAGAACCAGTTGGATTTTGGAAGAGCTCTCAGTCGGAGATGATACACAAAGATCCTCTTGTTAAATAGAGCGATTTGCTCCATCCCGAACTAGGACACCAGATCTAAAAAAAATTAAAAAAAATTGCACCTAGTGTCTAATGCATTAAAACCGATATCCCCACCAAACTATAAAACTTGATCCTATTGTTATTGTGATACAGTCACAGGGTAAGCAGTGTTTGGGTGATACAGGCGTCTAATTCTCCACAATCACAGTACTTTTGGTTACCTTATCAGTATTACAGTGACTCACATTGGTTGAATTGGCACATGAATACACATGTGAGCAGTAACGCCACGTCAAGGCTTCAACCCTTGTTACTGACCATTCATACACACCATACTTTGCATTCATACGCATTCGGTATTCCAGATGTTTTGGACTACACCTCCCATAATGGTTTGCCAGCATTATGGTCGATGTTATTCACAGCATCTGGACTGCCCAAGGTTACCTACCTCTGAACTATGCTGTGATCACAGTACACAATGTTGAAGTTGCTGTGCAAACAGGAGCAGCTCGTCATGTGTCAGATGCCACTTCATTAGTTATAAATTCAATACTCCACCCTGGAGACGAGCATCAGACATGGGCTTCTTCATTCCTCTTCATGTACTTCGTGTCCCATAGAAGAACATGCTTGTCAGAGCTGTGACACACACAAAAAGAAATAAACTAGTTAGAGTAACTGGCATAACAGACACAGTGCATGCAGACAGACACAAAGATTGTGGGAGACACACCGGATTAAATATAAGAATTGGGAGTACCGTACATACACAATGCACAAAGAGACGGAGATTACTGAATTCGGTGACCGATGGATTTGGTTGCAGATGTGGGGCTGTCCCTCTCGCTGGGGTGCAGTTTCTCATCCTTCTCTGGCGAGTGACTAGATGGCTGCGGCTTCATAGCAAAAAGCATGCCATGGCATATGATATCTAGGAAATAAATATTTGTCAGTGAAACTAGGGTTGTACACATCTAACACACACAGGCCACACGTACTGTACAGCTCCCCATCTAATGCACAGCCCCCCACATGTAACGAACAGCCCCTCCATCTAACACACTGCCCCCCCATAAAGCGCAGACCCCCATACAGCGCAACCCCCCATACAGCGCAGACCCCCCATACAGCGCAGACCCCCCCATACAGCGCAGACCCCCCATACAGCGCAAACCCCCCCATACAGCGCAGACCCCCCATATAGCGCAGACCCCCCATATAGCGCAGACCCCCCATACAGCGCAGACACCCATACAGCATACCCCCAATATACTGCGCAGACCCCCCATACAGCGCAGACCCCCCATACAATAATGTAGAAAACCCCCCACTATCCAATATAATGCACTGAAACCCCCCCTAATATAGTACCCCCTCCCCTTGGATGGCTGAGTGTGTTGGGAGCAGGGAGAAGCTTTACTCAGACGATCAGAGTCCAGTCCGCGCATGCGCAGTATAGGGGTAGGGAGATTTCACAGGGCTTAATCGCCATCAGATTTCCCTACCCCTATAGTGCGCATGCGCGGTGTCTGTGAAGCTCTCCCTGTCCCCAAGTGCGCACGCGCGCTGTACCTCCGACGGGAGTAGTTTGGCGCGCGTGCACACTGCGCCTTTATGCGACTCCTCGCTGTTCAAAGTCCCTACCTAGGTGGTGTGCGCCTGCGCGGCTGCGCACACCCCCGTCCCAACGTCACTTCCGGTGCGGCTTCGTCACCGGAAGTGACGAGGGTAGGGTTTTCTAACGGGGTAGGGAAATTTGATAGAACACCGGACTGGGGATAAAAACCAGCCCCGTAAAAAGTTTTATACCAATTCACAGGACTTACACCAGCAAATAGATTGCACTCACAGGACTTTCCCCAGCACTTACACTAGCACAGAAATTGCACTCACAGGACATGCCACAGCACCCACCTGAGGGGTTTGCCTTGACATGGCATGTGGGCTGAAATCTCTCATGGCCATTAGAGAAACTAAATAACCTCCATTTGTTTAAATATGCATAGGGATTACTGTATGTATTGGGGCTGATGTGTACTATGGTCATTGCTGCCGCCCAGGAGTGATGGGAGTTGGAGCACAGGACCTATTTTTTTGTTTTTGTATCACACAGCTATGTTACAATGCTGCCGCCCATCCCATGTGTTCCCTATTAAGGGTTAATACGTATATAGGGGTGTATATAAAAAAAAATACCCCTCTCTGTCTTATTGGAGATGTCTTTGCAAGAAGCTCAAGGAGGCAAAGTGAAAGGTTAGTGTAGGCAGGGCCGGTGCAAAGATTTTGGCCGCCCTAGGCAAAAGAAAAAATTGGCGCCCCCCCCCCCAAATGTGACATCAATATGATCCCACCCATATGATCTGCCCCCCATGTGACATCACAATGCCCCACCCATATGATCTGCCATTAAGCTGCAGTGGTTCTGGGGCCTAAAGTGTCACTTTAATGTAAGGTAAATTAGAGATTAGTGTAACTGATAATATACTAGATTGCCTACTTACAACCAGATGAGGATGGTGATGGGCTCTGGCTGCAGTCTAGCTCGACTGGTCTGGTGTAGAACAGGATCTCTGTAGTCACAAAATGCAATGTTCTGGGAGAATGGGAAGCAGCTCCATTTTTGGGGGGCCCCTTACACAGCTCAAGGTCTGGGCCCCAGGGCCTGACAGTGAGTATGCCTATAAGGCCCACCCATAAGTCCACCTATATGTTCCACACATGAGTTCGCTCACAGGGAGTTGAGTGTGTATGGGATGTGTTATGTGTTATTGTAGAGGATCTAGTGTGTGTGCTTATGAAATGTAGTATATAGGGATCAGTGGCAAACTAAGGGGGGGTGGAGGGTGCAGTCCGCCCTGGGTGCCATAACCCTGGTCTGAGAGCTAAAGGGGGATGTGTGAGCTGCGTCCCATGGCAGCTGGGGTGGTGCACAGCTCACACGGAGAGACCAGCAACTGAACTGGCCGTACGGAAGGAAGATATGGAGATATGGACATTTAGGGGGTGAGCCAACCTGAGAGCAGGGACGGGGCTTAACACTGCTACACATGGAGATGCAGCAAGAAGAAATCCCTGCTCCTCCACCTAACAGGCTCCAGGGAAGGACTTCTTGGAATCCACTCCTCCTCCAGCCCACACTGTCTGTAAGTGAGTGAGTGTGTGTGTGTAACTGTCTCCCTGTAACTGTGTGTGTGTGTATAACTGTCTGCCTGTAACTGTGTGTGCATGTGACTGTCTGTAACTGTGTGTGTGTGTAACTGTCTGCCTGTAACTGTGTGTATTGGTGTGTAACTGTCTGCCTGTAATTGTGTGTGTGTGTGTAACTGTCAGTAACTGTGTGTATGTATGTGTGTGTGTTTGTGTGTGTGTGTAACTCTCTGCCTGTAACGTGTGTGTGTGTGTGTGTGTGTAACTGTCTTCCTGTAACTGTGTGTAACTGTCTGCCTGTAACTGTGTGTGTGTGACAGTCTGCCTGTGACTGTGTGTGTGTGTGTGACTGCATGTAACTGACTGTATGTGTAACAGTGTGCAAGTGACTAGCTGCCTGTAACGGTGTGTGTGTGGCTGTAACTATGTGTATGACTGTCTGCCTGTAAACCGTGTGTGTGACTGTATATATGACTGTCTACCTGTAACAGTGTGCGTGACTGTGTGTTACTGCTTGTAGCTGATTGTGTGTGTGTAACTCTCTACCTGTAGCAGTGTGTATGACTGCCTGTGACTATATGTGTGACTGTCTGCATGTGACTGTCTGCTTGTAACTGTATGTGACTGTCTGTCTGTAACTGTGTGTGAGGGGGGTGCAGGAATTTTGTAGTAGGGGGCAGGGGTTTTAAAAAGTTTACAAATTTGTTTTGATTTTT